TTTGATGTGCTAAGTTCAGTTACGTATTGCTCAGTTGCTGTATCAAATGAATACTTGCCACCTGCTCAACAGGCGGCATCAGCTCCAGCCATTGTTGAAGCTACCCCAGCTCATGTTTTGTCTGATGATGGTTACCGTTATAAAACCCATCGTCGCGTTATTTACCGTCGCCACTAATGATTTTATTTAAGAAAACAGAATTATTCTTTAAGTAAGAGAATAAGTTAATGAAACCTATTTAGTTTATTAGATATGAATATGAATTTGTATTACTTGTGTAACTAATTTTATACAGAATTACTAAGCAATAAAATCATTCTAGAATACAAAGTACTTTACTGTCCCATTTGAAATTTAGTTCACTATGAAACACAATTAGTGAGCTCTGATAAAAGTTTAATCATCTGTGTGGCTTTATTACTTTCATTAGTTCCAAAAATTGAATTTAAGTAATAAGAATTGAAAAGTTTTAACTGATTTTTGATTGTACACATTTGCATGCATAGTTCTAACAGAAGTGGTTAACTATCGATATCGTTTGTACCATATTCATCAGTGAGCATATATTATGTAAATCCTAATGATTAAACAGATATAAAACGAGCTGAATTTTCGGACAAGGTATCACTTTCGATTGGTTTCTTCACTGATTGGAATATAGATTAGTTTCGAGGTATGCACCGCGATCTTTGGTCTATTGTATAAACTATTCAGAATGGTAAGATATTGAAGATATAGACAAAGTCTTATTTATTTCGAGTATTATCCTGTTTTACCCGTTACTGCATTTAGGTATTTGCAAAAATACGATACTATAATTATACTGTTTCTTCTAGAAAATTTACTTTTTGGTTTGTGTATTGGTGGCATCTGTGACCGCTGATGTTAGCCACTTAAGCAATCAATATCTTCCAGCAACTTATGCGGCTGCTGCTTCCGTTCCAATACAGACTTATAGGGTTTCAGTATCACCTCCTTCTTACAGCGCTCCAGAGCAAAGCTATAATGTTGTTGCTCCTACTGCCTTAGCCGAACCAGAATATGCAGCCTCGGAACCTGTTGCTGCGCATAGTTTCTCCTCATCGGACGCTTACCGCTACAAAACTCAAAGACGTGTAGTATACCGTCATCGTCAGCGTCGTGATGCCCTTTCAAGCGAATATTTGCCTTCAGCTGCTTCATCACCTTCCGTTGAATACTTGCCTCCAGCTGCATCTTCTGCAGTTTCGTCTTATTCTGCTGCCCCATCTTATCAATCGGAAATATATGCGTCAGCTGCATCCTATCAGTCTGAATCATACGCTGAACCTTCTTATGCAGAATCTGCTCCTGCCTATAGCTTTTCTTCTAGTGATGGTTACCGCTACAATGTCAAAGTGCCATAATGAGAATTACGATTTTAACCTTCCTTATTATACTCTCGCGAAAAATTGAACATAGTATAATATATTTGTTTATTTAGCGAGTATTTGTAATACCTGAGACTATACGAGAATGATGACAAATTTCCAGATGTTAACATATCCTTTAATGTGGTAATTTGCGCGCCAATAATATTCCGTTAACCAAAAAAATATAGAGCTATAGCTAAGTCATAATTAAAAATGTACAAGTAAGAGTGGAGGACTAAGTTCAAGTGTTCAAAATATTTTATATT